TCCATTGGCAGGTCATGCACAAACTCGAAATGTTCGGTATCGAACTCTCGGCTGACCGTCGATATTAGGCACCGTGCCTATCGACCAATAATAAAATGATCGATCGGTCGATCCGTCATATCGCTTGTTGATCCATCATATTCCTTCGGTCTCGGCGATAACCTTGAAAAACTCGCGGAACCGATCGCTATTTCTCTGACTCGAAAAATCAATTTTTCCTCCCTCTCCCTCTCTTTTTCTTTTTCATAGACCATAGGTTGGTAAGTCGTTGAAGTCTCACAAAGCGGATGAAATTGTCGTATTTTATCACCTTCTCGGTCCTGTTGCACGTAGAATCCTATTCCAGATTCGTAGCCGGTAGCAACGGTACCGCGAAATAAAAGCTTTACCTTTCTCTACGTGGTGCACGAATTTATTCAACCGTCTTCATATTCACGTATATTCTACTTGAAGACGATGAACCGCAAGAAATGCGACGTCTGAGTTTTCATCTCAATGTGAAATGGCGTCCTTTCGAAGGAAAATATTTTTTCCAGCTGTCGCATGGAAACGGAATAGAGAGAAGAAGGGGAGAAAGTATGACGGCCGTTAAAAGGACGATTCGAGAAATAGGAGAGATGGGAAGAGTAAGTCGGTATTTCAGTTCCGCGAGACAGCTGGTACGCTCGTCCAAACTAAAACGGATCTACACGCTCGAGTAAAAGTTGCGCTAATCGAGAAAGCCACGATATGCGACGCGAGCGCACTGCAGTGCTTTTTGGTTCCAACGCCTTCGGTCATAAGGTCAAAAGTAACGTATTAAAGTCCATGACGTTCGAGGGTGCATCTAAAAAGCTAATATCTATCGATCGCAGGAACGATCCGATATCTATACGTCGGATATGTCCTCCATCAAAGAGATTCAATTAATGTCGCTCGTATTTCCGCGCATATTCGTTCACTTTATCATTATCCATTTAGTTATCGATGCTCGGCATATAAAAAGAAATTTTGCTATGTTTATGAATAGAACGTGTCTAGAACACGATCGGTAATATCTACGAGTAAAGCGAGACGATTCGAGCGAAGAACGTCGAAGATTAGGTTGTACGCCGAGCGGATTTATAATCGACTGCTAGCACACAATTAGGCGCACATCATCCTAAATATCACGCATGTCACGCATACGGCTCGACATATCATTCGCATAAGTTGCGCGCGCATAAACTCCACAACAAACAATCTATATCATACACAGTGTTCGGATTTATCACAAAAACACATGAAATGTCTAAATACGCGTAACTAGGCGCATCGACGGCCCGTCTCGCGTTCGACTTACCGCGCGCACGTTTCGATTACTTTAGATTATTACAATTTTGCTATATTCCGGGCGCATCGGGTATCTATCTATATTCGCGAAAAATCCAGGCATATCAAAGTCTCGAACCCGACGCAAAGCTCCGCTGACTTTCCACTTTCCGCGTCGATATCTCGGTACGAATCTTTGAGACGATCATCCCTCTCTTTGTACGTTCTCGGCGTGCAACGAGCTTCCAGTTTCCGTGTTCGATGAAACAACGCCCTAACTGGTTATAATTAGTCTCTTTAATCGCACAAATCCGCGTGCTTCCCTCGTACTCGATCTAAAGAAACTTTTGACCCGTACATTTTCAAAACTTTTTTTCACCTACTTTCACCATTAGGACCGCGATCGGGGCCCTCCTCCTCCTATTCCCCGTTGGAAAAGACCCCGTTTATAACTCCGAGGTACGAGCGTAACGCCTGGGTTCGAATGCTTTTAAAACGCCTTAAAATCTATTCACATATCATCAGATGTATCTTATCGTCGAAGCAAAATATGCAAAATTTATATATGTATATGTATATGTCCATATATGTATATAGTATAGAGAAATATATATGAAATATGCGTACCGTAGTCGAGAAAAATTGGTAAAGTTGTCGCGTGGGGAACGAATTCAACGAATTGAAAAAGAAACAATTACCTGGACGTATATCATTTGCGTATACGTCGCGTTGGTAAGCGAACGTACGACCGGCCGAGAGCTTTTGCCTCTGACGTCCTCGGTTCTCTCCTTTCTTTCGTCGTGCACGCGCGACCTCGCACGAGAAGACCTCGCGCGACTTTTATGACTTTGCGCCACGCATAGATATAGACATACGAGGTATAATAAGCGAACCGCCGGGGGCTGGGCGAGCAGGCGGGGAACTTGACCTCGACGGTATTCCACATGTTACTCGATAAATGGTATAAATAAAAATCTAACCTACGTTAATGCCGTTTCGTTTTTCGATACCTTTTCTTTCACGTTTTCGAAGAGGACGCGCGATTTAAAAGCGACGAGAAACGAAGAACCGAGCGATCGATAACCTTCTTATCGCATCTTCATATCATAGATATCTTCGTACCATTAAATGTCGTTCGTATCATTCGATTTGGAGAAAGGTTGAATATCCTTACCTTTCGATCGGTGTAGCAAAGTGAAAACTATTCAATGAAAGAGAAAAAAAAGAAAAAAAGGAAAAAAAAAAAACAAAAAAATAAGCAACTCATCGATCTCGCGATTAGCGCGTGAATCGAAGCGGCGATTAGCGTATAAGCGAATTAAAAGGTAATACCGTACGATCGTTAAGGCCTAATAGATAAACAGGACGATAAACTCGTTAGACGATAACGAAAGAAAAAAAAAAAAAAGAAAAAAAAGAAAAGAAAAGAAAAAAAAGCCAAGCGAGCAAGTAATTAAGTACTTATATGGCGTTTTTGTTGTCTATTTCGGTTGTATACTTCTTCGCCTTCGAGCGCGTCTCCGCTTTCCTTTTCTTTCCTTCTCCATGATTTTCTCGTTGCTAGGAAAAGGGCAAAAACTACTCCAAGTCGGAAAAGTACCGCTCCGTGCAATTAAGGTACCTTAGCTGTTGTACCGCATTTAATCGCAAAGAGAAGCTTTTCGCGACATTTTTTTCCACCGTCCGTTTTTGCGACGAAAAAGCGAATCGAAGCATGGCTTAACCAGGAAATTATTCGCTAACTCGAAAACTCGAGCCTTCTTCCATTTCTTCTTTTTCTTCTTACGGTTTTTCTTTCCAAAAGAACTACAAGAAGAATATTACATTATTTTACAAAAAATAGTACAACAGACGGGCTCGCGCTTTAAAAATAATTATGGTCGATTTTGGAAATATTTTCTTTCGAAAATTCGACGATAAAGGGAAGAAAAGAGAGAAGAGAGACGCACTCGACGGCAATCCACTCTGTGGCTAAACGTCGAAGAAAACTATAAAAATACTCTGATGTTACCGAGGCTTCTTCTAGCGAAAAAAGATACTCATCCTTTCCGCAACACTGTCCCAGAAGGAGTAAGAGGCAAAGGTGGGAAAGACAAAGATAGAAATAAGTAGGGAAAGAAAAAGGCAAGAGAGAGAGAGAGAATGTGACTGAGAGAGAGAGAGAGAGAGAGAGAGAGAGAAAGAGCGCGCGAAAGAGACACTAACGAAGGAGGGACAAAGATACCTGCGGCTCTCTAAAAATACTTATTAACACTTGTTACGCGCTATCGATAAGTTTATATCGTATCTCTATTATAACAAAACTTTACGAGTATTATACGTGATATTATATTTATACGGGCTGTTACGCGCTGTCTCGAGGACAAACGTAAAGAGAAGAAAAAGAAACTTCCATTTTCATCCGCGAGAAGGCCGGCCGAGCGAGTGGATGGAAACGAGAGACGAGGCACTTTGCACGAAGATAAAAAGAAGATCGAATTCATGCGCTTTTCATTTCTTTTCTTCGTAGATTGAAAGAGATAAAATTTTCTAAGGAAAAAAAAAAGAAAAGAAAAGAAAAGAAATATAAAGAAAAGAGAAAGGTGAAAGATAGAAGGATAGGAGGGAAACTCGAAGGAGAATTCGTGAAAAATCTCGAACGAGTAGAAGCGATTATTAGACAGCGAGAGACGGCGTTTTCGAATCGATTTTCAATCGGACACTTGATTAATGTACCAGGATCGAAGAAAAAGCAAAGAGACGAGGCGAAAGAAAAAAGCGCTTATCCGTGCTACAAAAAAGGGGATTAAGATAAATGCTGGCTCATCCGTGCTAGTATTACGCGTTTACTCGTCGTAACTATATAGGAAGAACGCGATGGAGTTCGAGGCGAAGAAAGAGAGAACGAGAAAACGCGTCGGTGGAAAAGTAGAAGAACCGTACGAAGGAGGAGAGAGAGAGAGAGAGAGAGAGAGAGCGAGAGAGATCGTAATCCATTGCGCAACGTCATGGGATTTGATGATGATGAAGGAAGAAGAGGAAGAAGGAAATGAAGAAGATAACGCACGACTTGGCACGAAAAATTGTCTCCTTTCTTTATTTTTCTCTCAATCCTTTTTTTCTTTTCTTTTGTTTTCCTTTCGTCTCTTACTTATTAGCTAATAGTAAAAAACATATTTTTAAGGCCGATATAACGAGTTCATCCTATTATTTGTTACGTTCGTTCCATCTTCCTCGTATCATTATTTCTCTATATCTTCGTACCATTGTTTCTCCTATTTCTCTCTTTGACAACTCGAATCGGCGTTTTTTCTTTCAAAACTCGTCACCGAAGGTTAAAGATCATAAGAAAACGGCGAGCTAAGAAGCATCCTGCGCGTGTGTGCGGCCACGGAACGACTCGACTTTTCGAGATTTCGAAAAGTTTGAATTTGTCGTTCGCGAGACCGAGATTTTCCCTCGCCAAAGAGAAATGGAAAGTTTTTTCATCTTTTTCTTATCGAACCGTACGAAAGTAACGTTCGCGAGTCTCATTCCGTGGCGGCACGTTTTCAAAGACTGCATTATCCCTATTTTCTCGAAAGCAGGAAAGAAGAGGAAAAATATAAAAACGCCTGCGTCATCGTCGTTCGCGCGACCGGCATATGTGTGCGCGCGCCTTCTCCATTTACTTTTTCAAACTACTGTTATTAGGCTTGTTTTTAATAAAAAATTGTTTTTTTGTTTGTTAGAACGGAAGTGGACCAGGCGGCGAATCCGGTGGACGAGCTAACGGGTACGTATATTTTCTTTTCTCCTTCTACCTAAGAAATTCCTTTTTCCTTTGTTCCCAATCGTATAACGTTATTCGATGTTAGCAAATAAGCGCACGATCACGTTCGTCTTTTGACTTGACCTTTGGAATTATATGCGAAAGGCATATGGAAAGGAATTTCTCGATGTTCTTACAAACAGGAAGGTACGTACGAACGTCGACGTGTTCGACGGGTTCTCGACGTCCTCGAACGATGGAAGAAAGGACGGTGCAATTCCGCTTCCATCTCCGTCAAATCGTGAGAAGAAAACTTCCTGAAATGTTTCCCACGTGTTTCATCGGTTTTCCAAATAGAAAGTTTTGGATCGTGAGAAAGTTGACATTTTTCGAGGTTTCCACGCCGAGCCGACACGAACTCGAGCGTGACTTAGAGAGAAACGTTATAATTATTCGATCGTCAATAATGACAATTGCTCGATTGGAAAGTAATGTCAAGTTGATTATGCGTCATTAAAGCATCTAGAGCTCTTTAGGAAAGGACGTTAAAGTGATCTGTTCGAAGGGTCGTTTCGCGATATCACCTCTTTTCTCTTTTCCTAAGGGAAAGATCATTGGCATGCCACGAGAAAGGGAGGGACCAGGATTCTTTACTTTGACAGATCGGACGCGGAGGGAATGTTGAAGAGGGTCGACGAGAAAAGTGCTTCTTAATTGTTACGAGCTGCTCGAGGCGAATCGTTTAGGTATCTCGAGACAATCGATAATGCTCTCGATTTAAAGAGGACCTCTTTGATAGGACATCTTTACGTCGAAATATCTCGCGATTTCGATAATCTACCAATTTCTTTCTCTTTCCATATTAGGAATGTCAAAAGTGACGTCGAGAATAGTAGGCTCGTATAAGCCGAAAATACAACCGGCCATAATACCAGGTCGAAAGAGTATAGAGGATTGGTCAGAGAGCGAAAAGAGGCTCGATGCGGTTGAGTAGCGGATCGTTACCACGCGCCATCGTTCGTCCTATCTCTCATTCGTTCCTTCAAACGAAGCTTAAAGCTCCTTTGATATCTGTCCGACCGTGTTCTCTTATCGTAAGCGTTAAGCGAAATTGGCCACTATCGTCGTTCGGATGTGATCTTTCTCAACGACGGAAAACATTGGGGAAAAGAAAAAAAAACATTGGGGAAGAGAAACAAAAGCCGAACTTTTGACTCGCCGAATTTGACAAAGGCATACGTTCGTTAATCTCTGCTCCAAACTCTTTCATCGAGAAAACTTTCACTTTTGCCCCTTATTTTGCTCCGAAAAAAAACTCTCTTTTTCTTTTCCTTCAGTTTAACGATCCCTCGACTTTAGAATCTTCGAACAATCCGTCTCCGTTAAATATTCCTTCTCGATTGAAATTCTGCAAAGTTTAATCAAACAACGTGTAATCTTCTTCCTTGCGTGAGAGATTCCGGTTTACGTCGGAAATATGAGGATTAAGAGAGAGAGAGAGATTATGTCCTGGGCGTAAACCATTTCCAAATGATGGATCGTTCGGTATAATACTTAGCTGTCGAGAAACGTTTTTATTCGAACGTTGTCCTGAAAATTTATACGACACAGATAAGTAAGAGAGAAAAGAAAATCAGGTCAATCGAGAAAAGTATCTCGAAGCGAAGTAAATAAGTATGGATTCTTTCTTGCTTTCATTTTCAAACGTCCACATCGAAAGTAATCGCTACGATAATTGATAGGAAGCCGTGAGTTTCTTTGCTAGGTCAATACGTACGTAAGTACTTATGTAGTTACAAATGCTCGGTAACGGAGTACACGCGGCCTGAAAAACAAAAGCTTTTTCCTAACAATAAGAGAAGCGTTTGTCTCGTCGACGAATTGCGACGAATACTCGTCGGCCTTCTTTCTTTCTTTCTCTTCCGTTTTAACTAATTGTTCTATACCATTTAATAATTTTCAACTTGAAATTTAGATCTCTCCTTCAGAGACTCTTCCTTAATTACTCTACATTTCATAATTGCTTTTCAGGGCCAAAACATTTCACTGTACTTGTGCGGCATAAAATTCCGAAGGGAATAAAAAAAAAAAAAAAAAAAAAAAAAAGAAAAGAAAAGAAAAATAAATAAATAAAAAAATTTCTTCCAAATTATTCTTTTTTTTTTCCGAGAAAAAAAGAATGGCTGCATTATTCGATAAGATTCTTCTCTCGAAACCGGGACAAAAATCTCGGTTGTTATCGTTAAACTCGTCAAATAGAAGAGTTTGCGATATTATTGTTAAAGTTTGATTACTTTTCGATCCATTCTGAATGAAAGAAAATCCAGACGATATACGTTATACATATATGAATGTCGATTGGTACAATAAATAAGTCTGTAATAATGTGCGCACCTCGTTATCAAAAGTTGGGAGCAATCAGGGCTTTCCCGATAACCTATCGAATAACACGATTTCTGATATCTATCTCATTATAAATTTTTTATATCCGACAAAAGACGTCGTCGGTGCGCTAATTCTCTCTCCGTTATCCTTTGTTACAGGCATCCAGGCGATAATCCTTTCTACAGCAACATCGACAGTATGCCGGATATTCGACCGCGCAGGAAGTCAATACCATTGGTCTCCGAGCTGGTAGGTATCGATGCAACTCCATCGTTGTTTATACAATATATTCCTCTATCTCTTGATACATCATATAAATCCGTATTATTATAGGTATATAAGTACACTTTGTACGTGCTAACATAGCTATGTGTACTTACATATCCTAACTCGTCCGCGTTTGTCGAACTTTCTTAATTCGACCAATGAAATTGAAACGTTCTAGTAGACGCCGTCGTCGTCGTCATCATAGTCGTTCTCGTCTTCCCTACCTATCCTCGAACAAACGAAAATCGCGAGGAACAAAAAGCTTCATTCTCGAGCTAATTGCTCGCTCGGTTTGTTTTAATTAGTTTTACTAGCCGGCTCGAGAGAGCATCTTGGCGTGCCGCTCTTTCAGCGTTAACCTCACGCAACTCACGCCCTACGAACGAACGAACGAGTGCAATTTATGGCAACATACACCAACGTGCTCGAGCATTCCTTCCTCCTCAAGCCCTTCTCTTCCCTCTCGGCGACGACGAACAAATCGATCATAAGACGGATATACCGTAAATTTGATTTTTTTGTCGCGCGACTTACCTACGAGGCAACCTACCAAATTGGCTGCTCTTATCTAATTTCTAAGACAATAGAATCAATCTCGAGCTAGCCTCTGAGGTAACTCGCAACTCATACGATGGCACGTGTCTCGTTCTAATCTAATTACGTGTGTTTGCGTTTCAGTGTTACATCGTACGGCTAATAACCAAAAAGTATCTATCGTTAATGGGATTTAAAAAATAAGAAAATAGGGGAATCGTTAGACATGGAAAAATAAGCAATGCTTTATAAAATGTAGGATATTTTAATTGAAATGGCATAGAAAGGAAATTCGGTATTAACGACGAGAACGAGAACGAGAACGAGAACGAGAACGAGAACGAGAACGAGTACGTTACGTCGATATTCGTTCATATCTTTTTCTTATTTTCTTTGGCGTCTCCACAGATTTTAGCCGACGCTTCAATAAAGCTATTTTTATCCATCAGATCAGATGTGCGTTCAAAGAGATTTCATATGGCATCTCGTACGATCCGCGATAAGTAGAAAGTCGATATTCCGTGGAAGGATCCTTAACTTGTTTCGTACTTTTGTGAAAAGGAAAAGGAAAATAAAGCGTGGAGGAGAAATTTTTAAGGAGATTATTTAAGCGAGTTCCAAAGTCGGTACCCAGTTTTAGAAACGATGACGTTATTTAAACAGTAAATTCGCACTCCTCCTTTCGGTAATCCCTTGAGGGTACCTTAGTTTCCCGAGCCCGTTGTCTGTGTCCCTATATGTTCGGTGTCGAAAATTTCTATCTGATTGTTGTGTATAACGTTACCTCGCCAAACGGAGAACGGACACGTCGATTGAATTTCACCGGATATCAACGACGAGAACCTTTGAAAATTATCGGAATATTTGGCGAATTATTCGATTGGCCGAATGATTTAACGAATTCGCCGTTATACAAAAAGGATTTGTTAAATAAAAAGGGCCGAACATATCAACGTCATATTCCGATAATTTTGCCATTATTCAGAAAGGAAAAGTAGCCCAGCCAAATCGTTTCTTTCATTTCTCTTTCCTTCCAACTTGTTTGTTCCAAAGACTTATTTCATCTGGACGTATGATTCCGACATGATTCCGATTTCTAACGGGCTATTTGTTTCTTCGGCGTTACGCGTTACGATTACGCGTGTCCGTTAAACATTGTCTCTGTGCCTCTCGTGTGTCTAACTTTTCAACTATCTATACTTTCAACTTTCGTTAGAAAAAGAAGAAAAAGAATAATATAAAATAAAAGAAAATAATTAAATGGACGTAAATGATACACGTACTAACCAGCATATAATGCTATTTTCTTTGTTTGTTCTCTGTGGCGCCCGTTGTTGTATCCACCTGAACACCTGAAAAAACTAAACCACTCACTGAAAAAAACCTCTCAAAAAATCTCAAAAACTCTACCTCCAGGTCTTGAAGGTACTAATTAAATGCCTCCTTAGCGAACTTAATTAAAAGAAGCTTGCTTGAACGTCGCATGCGATTGCTCGTCATTTCGATTTCTTCTTCTCCTTCTTATTTGCTTTCTTCTCTTTGTTTTTACATTTTTCCTTTCCTTTTGTTCTGTTTCTGTATTATTCGCTTTGGTCATATGATAATTCTCCTTTTCTTATCCGCAGAGATTTTCTTCTTTGGAACCTTTATTTTGTGGTGATTGACGTGGCTTTGGTATTCATAGCGATGCACCACGAAAGCATGCGGACGCATTTGTCACTCTGATGAATAGGCCGTACCACAAGCAATGCGTTCGGCTTATTTCCTTCATTTAATTCGGAGAAATTGCAAAATGAACACAAATAAAAGCCGGTGGAGATAATGGTTAATAGTCGTGATGCGTTCCTTAATCGCAATGAGTGTATTTAATCGAGGCCGACGCTTGGGGTACGGGCCACAGCCCATTTTCATATGAATATGCATCGTAATAATAAAGGAGAGAATGTGGCTGGCACGTGGCAGATAATTTTATGCTTTTCGTGTATAATCGCGCGATACGCCGAGAAAAGGGGGTTGTGCAGCGTACCGCGTTAAACGTCACATTATTTGTGCCGTTAGCAAACCATAACCTACATTTCTAAGATTATCTTTTGTTTTTTTTTATACTCCCCGACACCCTGGCTTATCTGGATAAGATTAATCTTTTTATTAGCGCGAAATTTATTTTCATCGATCGTACCGACGTCCTCCCCTCCCACCGCGCGACCATATTTACCTTGAACCACCTTGTCTTATCCGAGATTCGACTTAACGCAAATCAAATCCAAAATCCTTCGATTCGCTTCCTCACGCTTTACCTTTTACGATGCATGTATTAGTATTATATAAGTATTAGCGCCTAAGCAATAAAGTTTTCGCTTAATCATTCCGTCACGCTTTGCATGCACATACGAAACAAATTAGATGAACGTAGTCATAGTCGAGCAAAATATAGTTGATCTTAATTAACGACAAAATAGCACGTACGTAGACACGGCTGGATTAAATTTGACAAATATTTATAAACACGAGCGAAATAAAAGAAAAATCCCTTTCGCATAGGTGAACTCGAATAAAGAAACGATTAGAAATGTTTTGTGGGTCGATAAATGGGATAAAGACGAGCGTTTAAAAACGAAGCGATTTAAAAAAAGGAAACGGCGCCCCGTGCAAAAATTACGCAAGCACGCTTGTTATTATACACATATTAGAAACGCCGTAGGGTAGAAGAGATCGAAAAGCGCGGTACCACAATACACGAGCGGCAAAGCGATATTAGTGCAGAGCATTAGAATGCGGATTGCGGATAAGAGAAAGACAGTAGCGCATGCATCGTGCACGGGGCCCCGTGCATAATATCTTAATTGAAATCTACGCCGAACCGCAAATCTCCGCGTGCCACACCTTCCAGGCACCTATAAGCTAATTGGATTAGACTTTCATCGTAGAGATATATTCTCTCTCTCTCTCTCTCTCTCTCTCTCTCTCTCTCTCTCTATCTCTCTTCACTAAATATCTTTCCCTCTCTCTCTCTCTCTCTCTTTATTGCTATCTATCTATCTATCTATCTATCTATCTATCTATCCATCTATCTATCTATCTATCTATCTATCTATCTCTTTCTGTTTTACGCCGTTAGACCAATCTCTAATTTGTATACCTACCATTTTCATTTTTCTCGCTCTCTTTCATTTTGTTTTAATTCAAGTATTCTTCTTATCTCCTGAACCGCCTTCTCTCACATTTCCTTTCGCTTTTTAATTAACGTTTTAAACATTTTTGCTACTCGCGTCATACACGCGTATAAAACTATATATCATTTCATGAACATATGTAAATACATAGCAAAAGACAAAAGGAAATTACATCCGTTACGAGACTCCTTGGAAAATTGTGCAAATTCCGAAATATTTTCTATACGAAGCGAGCAATCTTTTCTACTTCCAAAATATATGCCCACATTCATCAATAATTAAAGTGTATATTTTTTGTTTTTTTTTCGAAATCGTCAAAACGCGAACTACCAGAAAATTTGTAGAGCATTTGTTTTAAATCTCGAAACTTTCATGAAAGATCGATCGTTCGACAGCTCTCGAGCAAAAAGAGAGAAAAAGTTATCTCGACGTCATTTACATACGAGCTTTGTTCTATTTTTCGCGTGGTGCACACACATGTCCATGTACCTATCCACGTATACGAAAGAGAAGAGAAAGAAATATCGAGGAGTCTCTCTCACGATTTTATTTTTTTTCTTTTTTTCTTTTTTTTTTTTTTTTTGTTTTTGTAAAATACGGCATAAGAATCGTTAAAGCACGGCTCTCGGAAGAGATCCATGTATATACAACAAACACACCTTTTCTCGCTCGTTGTACATAACGTCTGTTCGACTGTCAGTCGATTTTTTAAATACTATATTTAGCACAGTAGAACGATTTCACTTTGCACCTTTTTTTACCATTAGTCGAGATTATGGCAAATTTGACATGAATTTTTTATGTCGTTATTATTATGATTAATTCTTCTGCAATTTTTTATATCTCTTTGTACGTTTTGATCATTCGATCTCTTTACAATTTTTGCTGCTATTTTTCTTGTAATCACCGATAATCATTCTCTTATTATTCTATCAGCAATTATTTGTATTATATCTTTATAAAATGTTTTCTCGTGTTTTTGCGTTCTTCAAGAGAGCCTACTTTGTTCACTACTTTCTTTCCGTCGTTTGCTTTCTTTTCGTTCATATTTTTCTCTTTTCCCCCTCTCTCTCTCTCTCTCTCTCTCTCTCTCTCTCTCTCTCTCTCTCTCTCTCTCTCTGTCTTTCTCTCTCTCTCTCTCTCTCTCTCTCTCTCTGACTTTTTATTTCCGCTCTTTGTCACTGTCTATACAATGGAGAGACCGGAAGGCATTATAGCTGGATCAGATGCACATTAATTTCTATCTTTTCTCAGACAATGGCGGCGACGAAGAGGAACGCCGCAGGGCTCACATCCGCGGTGCCCAGGGCTACGCTGAACGACGAGGAACTGGTAAGGACTCGTACTTTAGACGATCTACCTCGAGACATCATCGTCATCCTTCTCGTATCGATGTAACGAAGAAAGAGGGTAAAGGAAAAATAGAAGGAATAAAGTAAAGGAAAAAACGGTGGGCAGAGTCGCGAAAGGCTTCGCTCTCGCGTCGTTAGAGCGAACGTTTTCGTAGACTCGTACGCCAAACTTGGTTTTGCTAGATTATAATCGTCCTTTCAACGATCGGAGAGCATCATTAAAATCCATGGAATCGCGAACGCGCGTGCGCTATAAAGGGAGAACTCGAGACCGTCGAAGAAGATCCTTTTGAAATGAAATAATTTTCACTTTCACGAGGTGATTAAAATTTCTGACATTTTTCTGACAAATCGAATCTCTGGACCAAATCGATCAAGAGTGATCGTGTCCGTGTTTAAGAATTTTCTCCGACAAAGTCCGTCGTATCGGATGATCAAATCAAAATTTCACTCGCTATGTCTACTCGCCGTCAACAAAAATTAGTTTCCTTTTCTCGACGATATATATAGGAAGAAAGTTTCGTAAACGTCGATCGTTCCGCGCGTATCAACGATTAGGATACCGCGCGGATTAATTCGCGTCTAATATGGCATCATTTAACGTTAAGTTCGCTCTCGCGCAAGCGCGTCTAGCGACGTCGCACGGCGACGCGTCGTTCCCCTTAAGATATTAAGAATTAATTTAACACTCTGTAATCTATCTTTTCTTTCTTTTTTCATACGAACCGCTGCAATTTTATCCTCATTTCCACGCTATTTTCTTTCACGTAAGTCTGGCCCAAGCCTACTCTTTTTCTCAATTTCTTTCGATCTTTTATATATTATCTTTCTCTAAATACGAGCCACCCCCTATCAGAAGTCTCCTTTTGCGCTATTAACTTGATGCCGGTGGCAAGCGTGTAGCGAAATAGAAGATGAGATGTTAGCGTGCTAGGACGAGCATCATCGTACATATACATACATATATGTGTATACCTATTTTTATAGACTCGCACGCGCCCATAATTCTCGCCTCACCTCTACGATACACATAAGTACTCTGACATATACGTTATCAAAGATTTATTCGCGGAAGAAGAGAAAGATATGCGCGCACGCAATAATACACGCGTGTACATAGACGCGATTTAGAAAGACCCGCATCGAGCGCGAACGAAACGAATCGAAACTAACTGCGTGTCTCCGTGCAATTGGGAAGGGACATACAACCACAACTTTTCGGAATAACTTACAATTAGGCTAGTCCACTAGGGCTCTTTGATTTTTCTCTCTTTGGACGTTTCTCCGTACAAATCTTGTTACAATTTTTCCTTTTTATCGAGTACTTTAACGATTCGATATAATTGCATTAAGATGTCAACGAGAAAATAAAGATGTACGGAGGAACATCCTTGGCTCCGCGCGATAGTTTTATAGTGGTGCTTCTTAGCAGATCGATGCTTTAACCCTGCTCTATCCAGTTAGTATATATATATACACACACATGTGTATATATATATATATCCTTACATATTACGTATATACGTACATAGATATATTATACGGGGTACGGAGAAAACGTGCTCTCTCTCTCTCTCTCCCTCTCCTTCTCCCTCTCTCTCTCTCTCTCTCTCTCTCTCTCTCTCTCTCTCTCTCTTTCTGTTTTTCTCTGACGGAGTCCTTGCGCAGGATCCTCCTAAATGAGAACAGAGAGAGGGAGAGAGAGAGAGAGAGAGAGAAGGGAAGAAAAGAGAAAAATAAAAAGGGAAGGACCTCCTTTTTTTCGATCGCTCGTCTCTAGCCTTCAGGCCAAAGCGTAAAAAGGAAACAACGCTCTTCTTTTCGAGATCGTTGGAACGTTCCGATTACTCGACAAATATGCTTTTTTCCCTTTTTATTATTATCATCATTACTTACGGAGACACGTTTGATCATAATTTTTGTACTAAAGACTGCGAATGTAAAAATAATGAGTCGCAGGCACGATTCGAGAGGCTCGATTTTTTAGTGGATTTGCGTGCACATCGACGATAGAGCGCGAGAGTAGTGCGTACACGTGGATCTGTGCAGATTGATATGTACGATCCTGCATGGAGAATTAGGAAAAAGATCTCGTGCAAAAATAAGGAATAAAAAGGGCGAATCGAAAGAGCGGGCTCATATTTGGGAATATCTTCTTTAGAAAAACTCACCATGAACGTCGGAGCGAGACCCCGCTTTTTCGAAAATTCGCTAAACGATAGAGAGTACGAATGTTGACTCTTGGATTCTCCGTTCGATCCTCGAAAGGATTTCTTCGTCGAGATATATAAATATGATAAGAAATTTAATCCGTGGAACGGCTTAAATCGATAAATCTCGAATGTATCTTTCACATATATCCTCTCGTATACGTATTTTCTACGTTCGTATACATTCGAGAATTCGAGATTTGTCACGTAGACGTAGGCATTATATAATAATACGAGATAAAGATCGTAGAGGCGAACTTTCACGAACGAAGGATCCAAGTGCTTTCAAGTGCATCGAGTGGCTGGCCGAGTGCATCCATTCCAATTCCAAGAGATCCACCTTCCCGGATCCTTCCTTTCTCCTCCTGTCTCGTCCTAGACTTCGGTATCTTCTTTGAGAAGCACGCTTTAACGACGATGCGACCATCCTGAAACCCCGCAGAAGATGCACGTCTACAAGAAAACGCTGCAGGCGATGATTTATCCTATCTCGTCGACGACGCCTCACAATTTCGTCACTTGGACGGCCACCTCGCCGACCTACTGCTACGAATGCGAGGGTCTACTCTGGGGTATCGCGCGTCAGGGCGTTAGATGCATGGAATGCGGCGTCAAGTGTCACGAAAAGTGCAAGGACTTGCTCAACGCTGACTGCCTGCAGAGTGAGTTCACCAATGTTCATTTCATTTTTCGCGATCGATGAGCAACGAACTCGAGTCAGACGAACGATCGATAGACGTAATTTCCGTCGAGGGCGAGCGTCGCAACGAGCGGACGGTTGCGAGAAGCGCGCCTTGGCAAACAGCGCCTTCGCAACGAGCTCGCACCGGAAAATTAAAGCTCCTCGAATGTTTGAAGTCGCGTAAAGCGCGACCGCTCGGGAACACGCCCGAAGCCCGCGGATGTATATTATATCCTTCGCGGAGAGGGTCGCGAATACAAAATTAACATTAAACTTGCCAAAAGAATTAAAGCGCCAAAGCTTTATTGATAGTACGGAGATTAATTGATAGTACGGAATAAAGAAAATTTTCGTCTCGTCGGGATTTAAAGTTCCAAATGGGAATCCGGACGTTTTCAATGTTATCGTTTAAAGAAACTTTTTCGATTTAGCAAAATCTCTTGTTGGTCATCAAACGTCTTACGTTGAATCAAACTTATGGAGCTCGATGACTCTATATCTCGATGTTCTTTCATCGCAGAAAAACGGAAAGAGAGAAAGTTTGATTTAAAGACTTTCCTGAGGAAAGACCATACGATCGATCGCGAGGAAGTGTGACCGATCGTGGAATACGAACGAGGATGAATTAATTAAAAATCGCGTTTCGTCTAAAGCCTGGAAATGTAGTTTGGTCGGTGATTCGCAGTCGCGCAATCTCTTTTTGCATTTTATTTTTACAGGGGCCGCGGAGAAGAGCTCGAAGCACGGCGCCGAGGATAAAGCCAATAGCATAATCACGGCGATGAAGGAAAGGATGAAGCAGAGGGAGATGGAAAAGCCAGAGATCTTCGAGCTCATTCGGTGAGTTCTATCTATTTGCTTCTTTCACTCTCCATTTTTCATCGTTTTCTTTCTTTTTTACTTCTTTTCTTTTCCACCCCATCCCACTCCCCTCCCCCCTCTCTCTCTCTCTCTCTGTTCCATTTATCGCGGCACGACTGCGAAAGGAGAATCCAATGTTGATGTCTGCGGAACCGCATTGGTTCGCGTCTACGCCGTCGTTGCTCGTCTTCGGATCGAAAAGCCAACAAAATTTGAATTAGAGTAGAAATGAATTTTCTCCAAGAAATATTCGCGAGCCTTTTTAGAAGAACGACGAGAAGGGAAATGTTGAAATTAGAGAAAGCTCGAAATCAGGTCACGGTCCCGCGTCAAAATGTTCATTTTGAGTAGAAAATCGCGTTCGAGCGTCGCATTAGCCGAAACGTAACGGTACGGATGAAACGTTACGGCACAAATCGCCGCAGGGAGTTAGCCGCGTCGAAGGAAGTTGCTTTCGGCAAACATCGTTTGCAAGAATATAAACGGCCGTTTTTTTTTTCTCCAGAGAGCGTTGTATCCAAGAGAACAAGTAAATTTTTTTCCCTCGTCGTTGATTCGCGTTCGCGTTTGATCAATAATCGCCCAATTCGACGCTTTCGCTCGACTAATTCGCTTCGACTCGACCTTAGACGTTAGCTATAAACCGTTTTTCTTCTTCGAAGAAAAAAATGTCAGAGGTCAAATGTATTCGTAAATGAGTAAAGCTCGGATAGAAGAATAGAGCCACTCGGCTGTGATTATATAGAAAATTTCAGAACCGGCAGAGTTCCATCGTTTTTATTACGCGCGTAATAACGTCGTTACGCCGAGGACTCGAACGAGAAAAAGCATACCGTTGAATTACTCGAAACGTCTAATTATTTGATCGTCGTAATACCGGTCGTTTCACTACGCGCTCCACTAATGTCCGCGCCTGCCGAGCAACTTTATCGGGAAACGATATTAATTAGGTAATGTTCGGAATCGTACGTATTACGTACGGAGGAAATTCCGGCTTTTGTCTTTCTCCCATCGTCGCCCGTTGTTACGTGAATCGACACGATACTGACTAACGATCGATCCATCGATTAGTTCAATTATGCGCGCACGCTCGCATTAAGAGTATCGCCGTGACGACTAATACGATAATCCCTGCCCCTTAATTAATAACAAATATTGAAAATCCTGCAGCATGATCGCTAGGTTATTCCATTAAAAATAATTTCTTTCCGAACGGACTAATTTTCCTACGGCCGTTAAAAATAATAATGATCGATCAATTAGCTGGACTCGATGCTAAGGAGAATTTTGACGAAGACGAACGACGACGAGAAGATCGACGAATCACAGAAGAGAGATCGCGTAATCTGTTTCTTCCTTTTTTTTATTTCTCTCTCTCCCTCTCCCTCTCTCTCTCTCTCTCTCTCTCTCTCTCTCTCTTTAAGAGCCCGCACTCTCGTCTCATCTTTTCTTGTTTCGACAAAAAATTGCAAGATCCGATCGTCGATACATCTCGAGAGACGCGCGTCAACCAGCCACATTCCATTTCAACGAAATTTCGTCGTCGAATTTTCGTATCCTCGTTAACGCGCGTTGGATCGATGAGAGCAGTTTCGTGTTAATAACGAGCTCGCATGCCTCGCGCGCGACGCCTACTTTACGCCTACCTTTTCGAAAATACCTGCTTGAGATATATCTACGAAAGAGAAAAACGCTCGACTTTCCGGACGGTGAATCATTAAAAAAATGCCAAAGTAACGATGCAGTTTACGTCTTATGAAACTCAAGTCTCTTTTCTTTCTCTCTTACTCTTTGAATCGAGCAAATGGGAAAAGCCTGAACGAGCTAAAGTGTATAAACTTGGGAGCTTTTACAAAACTCTCTCTCTCTCTCTCTCTCTCTCTCTCTCTCCCTTCGAGTCTGCAGTCTGTTCTCTTTCGAGAAAGCTAAAACATCTATATACGCTCGTAAAACGGAAACTTTCAAGAAGGCAAACCGAAATAAAAAGAAAAAATATTCTTTCGCGGTCAAAAGAGATAGATAGAAATAGAGAGAGAGAGAGAGGGGGGGGGGGAGAGAGAGAAAGAAAGAGAGCGCATTAAAGTTTCGATCCTATTCTATCCAAAACACGTTCTCGATAAAACTTGCCGCTCGTGAGTTTTTCACCGAGTCCGCGTTCTCCTTTGGGCATTTTCTTTTCAAGCTCGTAAGCTAATCGGTTCTTGTACGAACATACATACTGAGCGCGCGCACGCATACGTTCGGGATAAAAGCGTCTCTCGAAATATCGCGCTCGCGAAAGAAATAAGAGTAAACGAGAAGCGGTGAGAGATAAGACGAGACCGGGTCCGTTGACACAGCCCAGTTGTGAAAGAGAGTCTCGTCGGAGTTTAGGTCAGTCTTCGGGGTCGACGAGGCTGCGCACCTGGGCCACATGTCATCAGTGAAGCAGTCGGTTCTGGACGGAACGAGCAAATGGTCGGCGAAGATCGCCATTACAGGTTTGTGGGCAGCTCTCTTCGTCGTAAGCTAAACGACGAAACTCAACGCGTCGGCTCGACCTCTACACCACGCCTATAAACGTTCATCTGTATACATAAATATTTATATAAACGCGTGTGTCTCTATGTGTATATCTGTATATTGTAGCTGTAGTTACACATATATATATATATGTGTGTGTGTGTATGTGTATATATATATATATGCGTACACACAAATGTACTTCCGTCGGTTGTCGTTGCCCTTCCTTACGTATGCGTTACACGCACACTATCATTATTTATATTCTCTGATTGATTGTTTACTGTTATTATTATTGTGTTATCATTACTATCGTTGCTGTCGTTTTGTCATCAGATGTCTGGCGATATATCTGCTCCTGCCGCGCGGCTGCTGCGCTCTGTCGTGCCTTGGATATATATATATATATATCATGCGCGTTACACTGTATATCTATGTGTATAGCGATAGACGTGTCACAGGCACGAGGCGATCGTTCGTTTTCAAGCATTAATTCGCGCTATACGTCACGAGGGACGTTCCCCGATACAAAGTCTAAGCAATCATTCGAAAATCGACGTGTCGAAATAAAAGAAGCGAACGATCGCGCTTCGATCGGCCATCATATTTTACTTATCGCGTACATAAGTACGTACGTATACGGAGGGAGACTCGATGATCGTGTCAAATAACTTTGGACAAAAATCCATATCGTGTGAAATGTTCATTTTCATTGGAAAACGTTTAGCTCGAAAAGAATCGAATATGAAATACCAGATAATATTTCATTCGTTAATGCTCATCGAGTCAGCTTCATACTCGCAACTAGGTGCATACCGGCATGCAGTGTCGCTATACAGTATCACCGTCTGCGACCTACCTTTTGCCGCCTGGATATGCAACGATTTTCAACGCTGGTCATTAGTCTGCACCATTAATTGGACGTTTCCCAGATCCACCCTTCGCGATTATCTAGCCATTACCGATGATTCAACGGCAATATACCTAACGTCACCCTAATGGCAACCTCGATGTGTTCTTTTCTCCCATTTTCCTCCTTCCTAGCTCCCTCTCTCCCCGCCTCCTTCTCGCACCATCCTCTCAATCAAGCGGTTACCTTGGCGTAACTTCTCATAGTACCACTTTCGTAGATCGAACGGAGACTCATCTTCTATATCGCGGATTAATTCCAAGTTTGTATTACTTTGCGTCACGACATGAATAAGAAGATAATAACTTCCGTGAAATGGGATAGAGAGTATTCTCCTTTCGTCCATGTATACGTCGCGTGAAACAGTATAAATTTTGTTCATCTTGGTTAGAGCAGACATCCCGAGGGATAGCTCTCGACTACACTATACCAGTTCCCGTTCTCTCGCATTCCATTTTAACGAGACGACACTCGTGCGAACAAAATCTATTAATATTCCATGCGACGCGTCCTCCGAATGTCTAATATTATACTTCGTACTCGCTCGGAGACCTAATAATCATCTTAGAGTTATCAAAGAGGCCGTTTCGATGCCGTTCACGGTCGATCGAACTATTCCTATGGGCCATAGGAGAACGTTCGGCAACGAACTCTACCAAGGCGTGATCCAAATTCTAGATTGTTTTCCTCAAAGGATGTAAATGTAGTCAAAATTACATCGCGCGTTCCAGCTATTATCGGAATATTATTAGAAAACGGTGTAACGAGGAAGTCATTAACGTTGGAATCGTCCTACCGACGCGTTGGTCATCTCTCTCTCTCTCTCTCTCTCTCGCGCGCGCGCGCGCGCAAGGAGGTGGGAATCCAATCGAAAGTCCATTAAGCTCGCTTGGCAACTTGTTGTCACTCGCCTAGATTATATATACATATATATACAGGCAACTTGCCATTGTCATAGGAAAGCACGACCAATGGCCTTCGATGCGTTGGGTGCTCATCGAACGTTTCGAAAGGTAACTCTCATCGTTACTCAACGAATGCAATGCGTTTATCCAAAATCGAATGTCTTTAATCGAAAATGAAACGCTCGCAAAAGTTTCAAGTTGGCGATGGGCCACCGAAACGACGCAACAAGTTTTCTTATTCCAAGCCGTCGTCTCGGTCAAACTCGAAGCTTGGATGTTAATTCAAGAATCCCAGCCAACTAACAGGTGGCACGCTGGGGAGACTGGTTTATGTTCCTTCTCGGTCTGCACGCGATCCATCGATTTTTTTTTACTCGCCAAGTTACCCTTCCGTTAAGCCCGCTTGATTCTCCCCAAATCACCATTACTTCCAACGATAAGTAATCTCGCATTTCCCCGAGTCCCCAATTTCCAATCTTCACGTATTCTTCCACACGTATTAATTTCATTTGAAATCTCTAAGCTCGCCTTCGAACAAGAGAACCATTGGTTCGTACGAACACCGAGTGCGCGTAGATGCACACGAGTATTATATTGGCTAGCGTAGAAAGGATGCCGAGTGGCAGGCCAGCGGGTGAAAGAAATAAACACGCCGATTGAAAGATATTACGCTACGAATTGCTGTTGGCGTTGCCGCCGCCGTTGCTGTCGCTGCTGTTGCCGCTGCTGCTTTAGCTTTACGAGCTCCTAGCGAATGTCGTCGCTTACGGTATACGTTCGAACGAATCGTCGCCGCTGCTGGAGGACTTTGGGATGATTATCGAGGAACTAATCCCTTTGGGCTGTCACCGACAACGACCGACATGTCTTCCACCGTTCTTCGCTGACCTCTCAGAGTATCTGTCTTTTTTTCTTTCTTTCAACATTCTCTGCCACATTTAGGATTAAAGGGTCCAGATTACGAATTTCCGATAAACGAACAAACGAGAAAGAGGTACGAGAGGTTGTCGAAGGACGACGCGTTTACGAGGACATTGTCTTCTTTCAGCACGACGTTTTCAGTCGACCCGGATACCCACATAGACAGTCTCGAACAGGCCGAACAGATCGTCCTTGAGGGTACCAGCAAGTGGTCCTGCAAGATCGCCATCACAGGTGACAACACGATACTAATATCTTAACACTTTTTCACGGTCACGAATTCGATCGAGATCCGATCGGAATCATCGCTTTGACTGATCTTTTCTACTTTCTATCCATCACACGACACGAACACGCTTCGACACGCCCGGATTTCGTGAAATTCAAGCGACGAAAAAAAAGCGACCGTTAGATGCGATTCTCCCTCGATGAAAGATCTTTCGACCGATAACGTACACGTAACGAGTAGTTGGATGCTACTATCCTTTTCCTTTGATCTTGATCGCTAGTATTTTCGCATTCGCAAAGTGACGCTGTAGAAAGTTCCGTATCGCTAGCACTTTTCTCAATTTCCAATCTTTTTCCCGATTTTGCTAGACACGTAGAGAATCTTTGAAAATTGATCGCCAACGAATGAAACGATAGTCGATAGTAAGCTTTTCTCTTGTCGTCGTCGTCGTCGTCGTCGTCGTCGTCGTCGTCGTCACCGGTGACGTACGGAATTTTCTTTTTTTCTCACGCAAGCTAGATTCTCGTACAATCTCGGATAGTCGATTAGATAGGAGAGAACGTGTTCGCGATTTCGATTCGCTGGACGTGTATCCTAGGTAAGGACACGCGATTATCTCTCTCTCTCTCTCTCCCTACATATTTTCACGTCGCCGCGTGCGAGAGAGAGAGAGAGAGACACGTGTCAAAGGTTCTTCAAAGTTATGCCGTGCGTATTCAACGGACGCGAAACGTCAGGAAATATCTTGGAGCGACGTACGTCGAAAGAAGGAAGGAGAAAAAGCCAAGTCTGATCGGACAGGAAATCGAAAGAGCGCGAGTGTACGTAGTTTCACATTCCAAGACTTTTCTTTTCTTTTATCTTTACGAGACTTTAGCGGAAAATACAACGTCCTGATAAAAGAAAGAGGAACGATGAGAAATAATTGAAACATGGGAATCGTAATGCAAATATGTAGGATAAAAAAATGTAATGAAAAATTTTTGGAAGGGAAAAAATTGAACGGGCGAAAGAATTTTCCCTCGCGGCTTCTCGCGATAACATCGTGAAAAATGAATAGAAGGAAATGTGTATTCATGGCGCGTAATTAATGCAGCCGTATAATGAATATGCCGTAACGTATACAACATAGTTTCGTATAATTAATAGATGACACGAGACTCGTGTTAACGCAAAGTATGTTTCTTTTTCCGATCTTCGCATGATAGCGAATATGAGATATTCTCTATAATCATTATCTCGAATAATTAGGCATTCGATAGATAATTCTCTTATCCGTAATAAACGAAATAGTTCCCTGTTACGTTGAGCTCGAGGATTCTTGTCGCGTACGCGTGATTTTACCCTATGAAAGTTCCACGCGTAATTCGTCCAGGACGACAATAATTTACGATAGATATCAGAGCAACGGTAAATTTTGAAATTTTCGTCGTAAAGCAGTACGTACGGAATTGAAATCCCAAGGAGGAATCGTAAACTATCGGCGTGTCTATTGGAGAAGTAAAAAGGGGCCGATGCGGAACATCGACAAGAGATAGAAAAATTTCAAGAGATGGAAGAGCGATTCGAAGGAAATTCAATTTTCTCGGTCGTGCTACCGGCCTACATCTATACGAATGTAATCTCGTTGAAAACATGGATACTTGCGTAGACTCTTGGTTAACGTCAAGATACACCAACGTAAAGATACAGGAGAATTTCTGTGATAGAGGTCGACGCGCTTCTCGGATTAAGGACGAAAAAGCTGCCGCTAGCAGCCTTTCATACGTGAACCTCACCTACATAAGTTCTCGATCCTCGGGATTGGTGTCGGTGCTAATGTTAAAGGGGAACGATCCTTCCAATCGGGCGAATTTCTTCGCAACGAGAAACGAGGAGAAATAAATTAACCTCGGGCCAATAATCTCTTTCTAGCCAGAAGAAGGGAGTATCGCGAGAATTAAGGAGGATCGCGAGCGTTTAACGGTCACCTTGGCCGGCGCAACGATTATTGCCAATTAGATGGTTAATAACAAGGTACAGCCAAGATGGGACGACGGGGAAGAGAGAGAGAGTGGAAAGAGAAAAGAAAACGGAAGGAACGATCATTAGAGTAATTGCTATCCTCGTGGCGAAGCGGGTCAACAGCTTTTTCTCTTCTTTCTTTTTCATCTCTCTCATTGTCAGTTTCGTGCCTCTTTATTTCCCTTTTTCTTCATATTTTTCTCTCTTACTCGGAGAGATGGAGAAGAACTCAGACGATCGAGAAGAACTTTGAACTCTAAAAAAGGATTGTGCCTGATTCGTGGCCGCTCGATCTTTGACGAAGAGGCAAAATGGAAGGAGTAACAGTCAGCGCCATTTCCGCTTCCGCCCTAGTAATCAAATCTCTTGACTCGCTGGGCACGAATTAAACGATTCGGCTAAGGATTGCAGTCGAAAGGACAGATGTGTGCGCAGAGAGAGAGAGAGAGAGAGAGAGAGACCGATGGCGCCAGGATAAACAGCTTGCATTCAAAATAGAGAAAGATTCTCAGAGTGGATGTTGACGTACGACGTACGATGCGGAAATGCGAATAAAGACAAGTACCGATGGTGAGAGAATATTTGTGCGCGTGTTGGAAAATAGCAGGAGAATGCAACGATGAAGCGAAGCGTATTATCATGGCCAGTGAGGATGTTTCCAATCCCTTTGTACCATCCATTTTCGAAAGCACGGACCGTACTATTTCCAAGCACGAAGAATATTAAAACGGTTTCCCTAATTGTAGAAGATAGACTCGATGAAAATTGTAATTAGAAGGAAATCTTTTTCTTTCTCGTAAAAAGTAAATTGCCAATATCGGTGGAAACGTGACTTTGCCATGGCTCTGTAGTAGCGAGATATTTATGCACACAAGTCGTCTCTAGCTAAACATTGTATAGGAGAGCTAGGCGAAGGCCATTATTCATATCGTTTCACTCGTCTTTACGCGATAACGATCGATTACTTTTCTCCGGTCCTACTCGGAAGAGAAAAATACTGTTATTAAGAGCACTCTGATTTAACCAATGATTTTCGTCGCAATATCAAATCGACCGATGAGAAAGCGTTCAAAGGACGAACCCCGAGGGAGAATATTTAACATTTTCCATTTCCTTTATACCTATTTTACGTCGAATGAATTTTCAGCTAATTTTGATTAATAATGAAGAACAAAAATTTGAACTGGATACGAAAACTTGAATACGGAAAATTGGACTTTTACATACCCGAGGGCAAGAGATACAGATTGAAATATATGTGGGTCTATAGAATCGACGACGTAGTACTGTACTATACATTAAGACGGGCGTTGATCCGTCGACGACACACATTCCTTCCACGAATATAACCTACGTTGATTATTATTCGGGCGAGCAAGGACGATCGCTTTAATATAAACAAGTTTTCCACGACACTTTCTACACACGAACGTAACACGACATACATAGTATTCCGTGAAGTGGATCGACACGGCGATGACTCGGCGATGGAGGTTCGCCAGGAACAGGACAGGAAGCGTCGTCGCCCCCATCGTGCGTCGGAACGAAAACCGAAGAGTTTGTAGCATGGGGCATGTGTGTCTGTCCATCTGTCCGAAAATGCAGCACGTTCTTATGATTATTATCGTTGCACAACTGAATACGTCTACCAGTATCGCGCAAGCGTATAATATATCGATTTAATTAATTTACGTACACGCGTGTCTCTACTTTGTTTACGATTCACGCCGAGCTTATGCACGCTTCAGAAATGTGTTGCCTGTTGAACATATGATGTTGAACATCGAATGTCCAATCTTGTTTCTTGTGGAGTCTTTGCATGCATCCTTCGATATCGTGCGTTTATGATTTGTCTAAGTTTATCTCGATACATCTCGGTAATAGAGTACAAACGACAGAAAAATATTTCAAAATCGAAAATCGATCCTTAATCGTTTTTCGAACAAAAATAAAAACGCTCGACCCTCGAGAAAGACTATTTTCCTTTAATACTTTTTCCTATCTCGAAAGACTCGATAATACCATAGGAAAAAGCTTAGGAAAAGTTGAAAAATATGTTGGTGCTTATAAATGTGCATTCGAGAACATGCGAATTCGCGACTATAGAATATTATCGGAAAGTCGCTCGCGAGAAAAATCGAAAAATTTGACCCCGTTCGATCGTTTAACGTCTACGAAAAAAAGATCTTCTCACTTCGCGTTTCAATGCATTTCACAGAGTAGATAAATAAATACCGCGACGACGATTATTTTGAACGACTTCTTAATCGAAAAATCGAACCGTTATTCCCTCTGATCGATACGCCTTCCAATCGAATTCTTTTACGGTCAAGGATTAGGCGTAAAGGATAAAAAGGAACGCGACGTTAGGAGAATAGCTTGTATAGATGTAATACAAAGAGAAGCGGTTCGACTAGAAAGAGACGTTTGCAAGGGCATTGTAAAAAGGACGTTGCCGGCAACAAACTCTCTCTCTCTCTCTATATATATATCTATATATATCTATATATATATATATCTATATATATATATATAGAGAGAGAGAGAGCATTTTCAGAACGGTTTTGCTATTGGTAATTAATTTCTATCACTTTCTTTTCTATCGACGAATCGAGGAAAATCAGTGCGATCAAATAGGTCGAATAGGTCGAATAGGATCGAGTAGGTTTGTCCAGTCCAGTTGAATCGCGAGCCACGATACTTTGACCGAAATTTGCCCATATTAATGACATTTTTTCCTACGTATCCACAGTGATCTGCGCTCAAGGATTAATCGCCAAGGACAAGAGTGGTACGTCCGATCCGTACGTCACGGTCCAGGTCGGTAAGGTGAAGAAACGCACGAGAACGATGCCGCGCGAGCTCAATCCTGTCTGGCACGAAAAGTTTTACTTGTAAGTATAAACTGGTCGATCTTTTCGCTTGGGAAGGGGATTAAGTAATAAAATGTTCGGAGGATCGCTATACGTGTATAGCGCGTAGGTAGAAGAAACCGGAAAAGAAGGAAAAAAGGTGTGTGTGTGTGTGTGTGTATCCAGGTTTCAGAGTCGATCGAAGCTCGATCGTATTAATAATTGTCGATTCGTTATAAATCGCGAAAAAGAATGTGAAGGATCGATGATAAATGTGAAGGGAGAGGGAGAGATAGATGATCCGTTAATAGATAATTTCGCTTTGCAGCGAGTGTCACAATTCGTCCGATCGGATAAAGGTTCGCGTCTGGGACGAGGACAACGATTTGAAGTCGAAACTGCGACAGAAACTTACGCGCGAGAGTGACGATTTTCTTGGACAAACGATCATCGAGGTGAGAACGCTCAGCGGCGAGATGGACGTCTGGTATAATTTGGAAAAGAGAACGGACAAGAGCGCGGTATCCGGTGCCATCAGGTTGCACATAAGCGTGGAAATCAAGGGAGAGGAAAAGGTCGCTCCGTATCACGTGCAATACACCTGCCTTCACGAGAACCTATTCCATAGTTTATGCGAGGAGAACGCCGGGATGGTCAGCCTACCGCAGGCGAAGGGCGAGGACGCATGGAAGGTGTACTTTGATCCGCCCGGCGAAGAACTCGTCGATGAATTTGCCATGCGATACGGCATCGAGAGCATCTACCAGGCCATGACGTGAGTGATTTAACGGCGAACAGCCGAGTTCGATAAATTATATCGATATATTCAACCTCTCTCTCTCTCTCTCTCTCTCTCTCTCTCTCTCTCATTTCAGACACTTCCACTGCCTCTCGACAAAGTACCTGTGCCCAGGGGTCCCCGCGGTAATGTCGACCCTGTTGGCCAACATAAACGCCTATTACGCCCACACGACCGCTAGTTCGGCCGTTTCCGCTAGCGATAGATTCGCCGCGAGTAATTTTGGGGTGGGTATATTAGATTCGACGACGATATTTATAAAGGTCCGGCCCTTTCACGGAGACATCTCTTTTTGCTTTTACCTTTCGTTCCCTCGAAAGCAACATTTTAATCCAACGATTCGATCCCTTCGCAGAAAGAAAAGTTCGTGAAATTGCTTGACCAGCTGCACAATTCCTTGAGGATCGATCTCTCGTCGTATAGAAATAACTTCCCAGCATCGAGCCAGGAGAAACTGATGGACCTGAAGAGCACCGTCGACCTTCTTACGAGCATCACGTTCTTCCGTATGAAGGTGCAGGAATTGTCGAGCCCGCCACGAGCCAGCACCGTCGTCAAGGATTGCGTTAAGGCTTGCTTGCGTTCGACCTATCAGTTCCTCTTCGAGCATTGCTACGAACTCTACAGCAGAGAATTTCAGGCTGATCCGAACGAACCGAAAAAGGATCCGGAGGATCACGGACCAAGACGGGACTCTCTCGACTTTTGGCACAAGCTCATCGCTCTTATCGTTTCGGTTATCGAGGAGGACAAGAACAGCTATGCGCCCGTGTTGAACCAATTCCCCCAGGAGTTGAACATCGGTCAACTATCGGCGGCCACTATGTGGTCTTTGTTCGCGGTCGACATGAAGTACGCCCTGGAGGATCACGAGCAGCATAGACTGTGCAAGTCCTCAGCTTATATGAATTTACACTTCAAGGTGAAGTGGTTGTACACGAATTACGTGAAAGACGTACCACCTTACAAGGGTGCCGTGCCGGAATATCCCGCCTGGTTCGAGCCGTTCGTCATGCAATGGCTCAACGAGAACGACGACGTTTCCTTGGAATACTTACACGGTGCCTTTAGCAGAGACAAAAAGGACGGGGTGAGTATCGTTACGTGACCACGCGTTCTATGAAAATGATTTTTATTATATCGCGCAAATGCGATCTTTCGACAGTTCCAAAAGAGCAGCGAGCACGCTCTCTTCAGCGTGTCGGTCGTCGACGTGTTTACCCAATTGACCCAGTGCTTCGACGTCGTCTCGAAGCTCGAGTGTCCCGATCCGGAGATTTGGAAGAGGTACATGAAGAGATTCGCTAAGACCATAGTAAAGGTTCTGGTCGCTTACTCTGACATCGTCAAAATAGAATTTCCCGTCCACTTGAAGGAGGAACGAATCGTGAGTAACGTAAAAACAGAATGGAAATAAGGACATCATTTATATTCGGCCAATCTCTTCTTTCTTTACAGGCTTGCATCCTGATGAACAATATCCAACAACTGCGCGTGCAGCTGGAGAAGATGTTCGAGTCGATGGGCGGTGAAAAATTGGAGGAGGACGCGGCAAACATCTTGAAGGAACTTCAGCAGCAGCTTAACAGCGCCCTGGATGACCTGGCGATGCTCTTCGCCAAGAGTCTCGAGCCGCGTATAACGGCCTCAGTCCGAGAACTGGGAGATCTCCTTTTGGCTATCAAAGGTGGCGGTCAGGTTACCTTGTCCCAAGCGCAACAAAGGAACAACGTCGCTGTCGAGGCCGACGAGGTGTTGAGGCCTCTCATGGTACTTCTCGACGGAAGTCTTTCTCTATATGCCGAATCCTGCGAGAAGACGGTACTCAAGAGATTATTGAAGGAACTTTGGAAGATCGTCATGAGGATTCTCGAAAAGACGGTCGTCTTACCGCCCATGACGGACAAGAGCGTACGTTTATTTGAAAAGCAACTTTTTCTTTTTTTTTTTTTTTTTTTTCTTTTTTCTTCTACTTTATTAACATAACCGTTCTCATATTTCGATCCTTGTCCCGCTAATCGGTCAGTAATTCGATATTTCTAGATGATGTTCAAGAATCTAACGGATAACGCGAAGAATCTCGCGGCGAACGCCAAGATAGAGGACATGTCAAAGTTGTTTAAGAATCACATGACCGGAAAGCCGGACGTCAAAAATGCTCTCAGCGGTGTCATGGTAATATCTCGTGATCAGCCCATGGATTTTATAATAAAGCCGTTTAAGAATAATCCTTAAGAGGCGCGCCCGTTTTATTTCGTAGGATATCTCGAAAGAGGTGGAGAAGAATCTGTCGCCGAAACAGTGCGCCGTACTCGACGTCGCCCTCGACACCATCAAGCAATACTTCCATGCGGGTGGCAATGGCTTGAAAAAGGCCTTCCTCGAAAAGTCTCCGGAACTGCAGAGCCTTCGGTACGCTCTCAGCCTTTACACGCAGACGACGGACACCCTGATCAAGACCTTCGTTACTTCTCAAATCAATCAAGGTAGGCTTTTGCCTCGACGAGGAACATGTATGTGTATATATATATATATATATATATATACATACGTATATATAAAGCGATCGAGAGGAAGGATCGCTCTCGAAGAAAGTTCCGCGAGCACTTAACGAGGCTAAAAACTCGAGTATTCGCTATTTTTCTATTTTTCTTCTACTCTTTCCGTCGTTGAAAAGCTCGAGCTTGCGTTTACTATTTGTACACCGTTGATCGGCGATTTGACGTACGATTGACATGAAGGTTAAATAAAAATTGTCGGGACAGTGCCGCTGAACGATGCGTCAACGTTACGTCAGCGTCAGCGTTCGATGAGCAGCGAGAGAGGCGACGAAGGCGAAGGAGCCGAGGGTATGGAAAGCCTCGAGGAACCCCTTCGCCAGAGCAAGCCCTCTCTTCGTCGAGAGAGTCGTCAAGGTACAACGCAAGAGCACGACGCAACCCTTAGTGCGGAAGTTGCCAAAGCTACCTTCGGTTACGCTTCTTTCCGATTTCTTCCGAATTTAGAACCTCGACTCCTTTAGGATTTAGTCTTGGATTCGTCCGTATCCATCGAGACGTATTTTCCATTCTAATTTTTTTTTTCTTTTGTATTTTCCATTCAAAGAAAAAGTACTCGATATATCTGGCCATTTTCGTTATCTGTACCTGGAAAGAGACGTCTCGACGGACGGTCGGTGGTATATATACACGTATGTTATAGCTGTAAAGGGTCCGCAAAGTGTAGTACCGCAAAACGAAAGAAAAAAAAAAAAAAAGAAAAGAAACAATCACTATCGCTGCTAACGCTAAATTTATCCATTTCACAAAAAACACGCATAAACAGATATAGAGAAATCAGATCGTATCGTTACGATGCTTTTCAAACAATTACGCACCGATCCCATCCACTTAACTCGAGACTTCCTCCCAGGGGAAGGGGAGGAAACGAGAGGGGAGAAAACATTAATGCATTTTCTATCGCTATCTCTCGTAGCAACGACGACGAGACGTCGACGAATCGAGCAAAACGATAAGAATGGGACGCGCCGAGACGATCGCGTGCACGAAGGATACTTGTACACTTGAATGTTTTTCTTTAGAGGCTGGGAGATGAACGAAGCAAGCCGTCCAATCGGTCGTCCGTTCCATCGTTTTCATTCGAATAACCGCAAAACATCCGCAGACGGAGCTTCGATCCTCCATTACCTTCGACTCTCGCTCTAATGAAAACCCCTTAAGGCCTGCTTCGTCTTCATCCGATGCGAGAGAGAGAGAGAGAGAGAGAGAGAGAGAGAGAGAGAGAGAGAGAGAGAGAGAGAGATACAAGTAATTGCATATCGCGTAGAGCATGTTGATCTGCTCTCTATAGATATAGAAGGAAATAATAGACATTTAGGAATGGCCACGTTTATGCTATACTTTTCATCGGCTAGAATTCATTTTTCACTTTTTCATACGTTAAGCGTAAATGTATGAAAAACGACTGATTTAATCTCGTCAAGTTCCAGATACGGCTGGTACGGACGAAGGTTCGGTGGGAGAAGTTAGCATCCAGGTTGACCTCTTCACGCATCCTGGAACCGGCGAACAAAAGGTCACGGTCAAAGGTAAACGTGTCTTATCAAACGCTTCACTTAGGATTCGATTAGAATTCGACTAGAAAAGTTCGCCTCGACGAAAACGGATTTGGAAACGACAAATTCATTCTTCATTTTCAGTCGTCGCTGCAAACGATTTAAAGTGGCAATTGGCTACGGGAATGTTTAGGCCTTACGTTGAAGTCAATCTGATTGGTCCGCATCTAACTGGCAAAAAGAGGAAACAATCGACGAAATCGAAGAGCAACAATTGGTCGCCTCAATTCAACGAAAGTTTCGACTTGTAAATATAATAGCTATAATGTTAATTTATTGCGAAAGAGAGACAATAATGCGATAAATTAATACGACCGATTGGTTTTAACAGCATGATCGGCAACGAGCAGCAACAATTGGACTTTTACGAGCTTCACATTTGCGTCAAGGATTATTGCTTCGCGAGAGAGGACAGACTGGTCGGCGTGGCGGTGATGCAGCTAAAGGATATCGTCGAAGAGGGTTCCTGCGCGTGCTGGCTGTCGCTCGGCAAGCGAATTCAAATGGACGAGACCGGTTGGACCATTTTGCGAATTCTCTCGCAAAGAAACAACGACGAGATAGCGAAGGAATTTGTAAAATTAAAGAGCGACATCAGACAGGAAACACCTCTACCAAATCCCACTTGAAACGGCGAACCGTCGGCGCACTAAACTCGACAGCGATGCGATACGTCCTTTGAGCTTGGAAAGAGCTCCAAGGTCTTGGCGGATGGCGGACAAGATTTTGTCTGACGATGGGCAAGCAAAAGAGGACAGGACAAGGAAGGAAAGAAAGAAAGAAAGAAAGAAACAAAAAAAGAAAGAAAGAAAGAAAGAAAGAAAGAGAGAGAGAAAAAGAGAAAGAAAGAATGAAAGAAAAACAAAAAGCAAGCAAGCAAGAAAGAAAAAGAGAAAAGAATGGTTCGCTCTATGGTATTACCAATGACAAGCAACATCAACGACTTGCTATAGTCCATACCGAAAGGAGACAAACGTACGAGGAACGATCGAGACTGCTCAAAGCGCTAAATTTCCGGTCGATCGACCGAATTCCTTCCGCTCGATATTTTTAGGATCACGATGAGAGCAACGATTCGTTGCTACTCCTCTTTCCTGTTTCCTTCGCGCGAAAGGGATCCGAACGAGCGCCGCTTTTTTTCCCCATTTTTACGAGTCACACGTGCAACGCCTCTATACACATCTACCTCCACGCGTACCCATCCGCTCTCTCTCACACACACACACACGCACACGCACACGCACACACACACACACATACACGTACGAGGGACGTACAGATAGATCCGTTTTAGCGTTATCGCTCACAAACAATCGGCACAGAGCTAGACCAACGTTCTTTCGGCTCGTCGATAAGAAAAAATATCACGTAATACCAAGGACGATTCCTGCCGTCCCTTTTGGAAATTCTCAAACTACTCGAGAGCTCGACCGAAGGAAACTGTGAAGTGGTCCCAACGACGACGAATAACGTTATCATAAGACGACATTAGGAGAGGCAAACGTCATTGAGAAGAAAGAACGAGTCGTTTGATTCTTTTCTTCGTGCCGTGTGTCGCGAGAAAAGAAAAGATAGTACGTACGAAATAAGAAGAGTCGAAAAAGTGAAAACAGTGCTGCCAGTACGCAATATATTTGCTAAATATTCGTTATGTAAGAGGGAAAAGGAGAATAAGAGAGCGCTTAAGGAAAATTATTGTAAAATGGAGAATTACGGACACCCCTGAAAGACTTGGAACGAGCGCGAGACGAGACAGATTTATCGAAGTAAAATAAGAGGGGGGCAAGCGAATAAGGGGTCCGCGATTGAAAGAAAAATAAAAAAAAAAGAAAAAAGAAAAAAGAAGAAGATAAGGTAAAGAAAGCTCGAGGGGAGGAAATATAAGCGAAAGACGATATTCCGCGCTCGCAAAGACACGATGATAACCCTTAGGCCGTTTTGTTCGAACGGACGGAGAGTTTACTGTAGATAAACGTGGAAACATATTGTTGACGAGGAAGAATTTTTCTAACACAATTATTTAAATGTAGCATTGCGTACGACCAATGGGCGCGCCCTGACGTCAATCAAGGCGCGCCGTTAGTAATAAAAACTTAGGCATTGTAATGTATAAAGTACGTTCTTATTCGTAAGAGTAACAAAAGTAAAAGAAAGAAAGAAAGAAAGAAAGAAAGAAAGAAAGAAAGAAAGAAAAGAAAAAAAGAAAAAGAACAAAAAAAGGAACAAAAAAAAAGAAAAAAAAAAGAAGAAAAAATTATCACTTCTTTTTCGAAGTCGAAGTTAGGATGAAACACGTCGAGATCCACGAGTTGGCTTCGAGTTTTTCTCTTTCTCTACGAGCGAACGAGCGCCCAAAATCGAAACGAAACTCTCGTTATTTATTCATAGTAATTGTCCAGCAATAGGCGAAGACGTTCCAATGATACTCGTAGCTTCGATTTTTCTCGAAATATTAAGTACTATTTAAAGAAGGAAGAAGAGACGAGGCGCTTTTTTATGCGAACCAAAGACTCTACTAAAAGGCAGATGCGCGAGTACGATTGGAAAAAATGCGTCAACTCCGCTCGCCTTTCATCCTCGCGACTGCTATTCTCTCTTCGACTTTCTCTTTTTCTCTCTCTCTCTCTCTCTCTCTCTCTCTCTCTCTCTCTCTCTCTCTTGAAACTCTCTTACGTAATCGAAGAAAAAAGAAAAAAAGGATAAAAAAAGAAAAGAAGAAAAATAATGCACTCTTACGTGGCAAAGAACGTTCGCTCGTGGAGATGTCGTGGATATAGAAAGGGCGAGAGGAGCCCTCTTAGCTCGGAGCTTCTTCGTTGGGATCTCGAAGCGTAGCTTGATTATATCGAAAAGGGAGCTAGGAAAAGAAGCGAATGATAACCACACATCGTCCAGCCTGTGCGGATCGGACAGGTATAATAAAGGTAAAATAAAGAAAAACAATTTCAAAGATTACGACACGATTATAATTGAAAAAGTTTCTACTTACGTAGTTACGTCTAGATGCATATACTTACGTATTGTGTATAGTGTGTCTAAAAGAAAACGCTGAATACGTAGCTGCGAGGCCGGCTTTGTACGAGGAACATATGGGGATATCTAGTTTACGTACGCGCCTTGTATATGCGTGGGTAAACGAAGGTGAGCGCGCGTACGTAGATTTGTGCGTATCCGAGCGTACATCGCGCGCGATCGTTTTGAATCGTCGACGAGCTTGGGAAGCGACGACCGAACTACCGTTGATAACAACTCGAGAGAGAAAACTCGCGAACTCGGACTCGCGCATTCATTTACTTCATCGTCTACGAGCTTATTCTCCGAGCGTATTTTCCAGGCTCGTTCCTCTTTCTTCTCCTTTTTCATTTTCATTTTCATTTGGAAGGAACTACCAACACTGGCCGTACACGATTACACGTGATTTTCTACAAGATTTTCTTCTTCTAGAGAGTTTTATCATATGGGGGACACATGCACACACGTCTATACATACACGACACATACTTTGCTTATCCGTAATCGCGATTCTTACGGACGAGATATATCATCCTCCATTTTTGCGATAAGCGCGCTGTTTACTTTCTTTACGTTTCTTTACGTTTCTTCGTTCCGCTTGCCTAAACTCGAACGCGTGCCGTTCAGAATCGAACGAAGAGATCACAATCGAAGAGCGTAGAAAAGAGAAAAAAAGAAAGAAAAGGACGGAGAGCGAAAGACGGGCTCGCCGAGTCCATTCCTCCTTTCGAAATCTGTCTATTTTCTTCTAGCCGCCTAACTAAGGTACGCGTAATTAGTGATATAAACAAAACAAAACAAAAAAAAAACAAAAAAAACAAAAAAAAATAAACAAAAAAAAGAAAGAAGAAAAGGAAACAGATATATACCGAGATGGCATAAAAAAAAAAAAAAAAGGGAAAAGGAAATGATAGGAGGACCATTTTCGCCGTTTCCCTCGTGTCGCGTAACTACTCTCCCGCTTGTATTAATATCTCGTAAGCTTAAATGAAAATATCTCGTACATTCTGTGATACTTGCCCCTCCCCACCCCCCCACCCCCCCCCCCCCGTTAAAAACGCATGCGTACTCACCCTCTACGACACCCGTACTTGTCGCACGAGCACGTGTACGACGACGAAGGAACAAAAGAAGATAAGACGCATCCGATCCTAACTAGCTACAATATTTTTCTCATTTTAAAGAACATTCCGAGCAGATTTATACTCTCTGTAATCGTCTAACGTCCGAATAGTCTCGAGTAGACGTTGATAATTGAGAAGATGCGAATCGCAATAAACGAGCGTCGCCTCGATCATGGCACACGGAGCGCGATGATATATCGACGGGTCAAGAAGAAACAAAAAGAATAAGAAGGAACAAAGCAAGTAAATAATGACGGAGGAACCTGAAACGCAAAAGTCCCTGCCACGTCTCTCCTTTTTTCCTTGAGATCGATGAAAGAAGCGGCAGAAAAAAAGGGCAAAATGAGATATCGTCGTTGATTTTGACCCTTTTTTCGCCATCCTTTTTTTCCTTCTTCTTTCGCTCTTACCTCGGAGACAACAAGGGTGGAATCGGCATTCGAAAGGACTAAACCTCGTACGGGTCTTCACGTTGGACTTTTGCGTTACAGTCGCCGGCAAAGGCGCAGAACCAAATATCGAGCCAGACTCCAGGGATCGTTCAAAGCTATCGAAAGCGCGTATTGAAGGGCGATATCGAAGAATTCAAAAAACAAAAAAAAACAAAAAAACAAAAAAAAGCCGTTTAAGAGGAGAAAAGATACAAACAAACAAAAATATACACAACTGTTGACAATACTATGCTTGAAAAAAAATCGTATGACGCGTATGTAATGTACCTAACGAATATTATTTAAAAAGAAAAAAAAAAAAAAGAAAAAAAAAAAGAAAAAAGAGAAAAAAGTATTAAGCGAAAAAAAAACGGATGGAGTTTCGGTGCTTCGCGACTAAAGGGAAAAAGGGAGAAAGAGGAAAAAAAACGGACGTCGCGTATTTAAGGAGCGATCATGGGAAGGAAAACGTGAACGAGTCGCGTAAAAATCTGTGCGTGCATGTGGATGACTGCGTGCTTCATTAGGTAAAAAAATGATGTCTAATCGAACAAAGATGCGTCGTCATTTTTGTCGTCCCGCGGAAAGCATTGATAACTATTATCGTTGTTATCAACCTTTTTTTTTCACGCGTAGATGACCAAGTAAATTCGATATAATGAATGAAAAAAGAAAAAGAAAAAGAAAAAGAAAAAAAAAAGAACGATGAGACGCCGGTGCGCAGTCTCCGAATACAAAAGTAAATCCAAAGCAATTGTATCCGATTCAAACACGCACATTTAACACAACAAATTTCGAGCGAATTAAGAAGAGAGAAAGAGAGCGAGAGAGCGAGAGAGCGAGAGCAAGAGCGAGAGCGAGAGAGAGAAAGATTACTATTACATATATAAAGATCCCGATCTTTGTTAATAATAAATGTTCCACTTTCATTCGTTCACTCGTACCAAAGAGTTGCATTCTTATTTCTTTCTTAATATCGGGACGAAAAGCTTCTGACCCTTCGAGAAACATCGAACGCGAACGTCAAAAAAATTTAGCTTTTTCCCGATTTCGTCCCGTCCAAGCGTTTCTCTTTCTCTTTTCTATAAATCATATCGTCGGCGATAATAAAAATCTCATATCATTCCTCTCGCATCGTAGCCCGCATTGTACATAAACGTCGCGTACATAATAGACGAATGATCTTTCGTGTAGCGTCCTCATCGCGAGATAGAAAGAGAGAGAGAGAGAGAGAGAGATAGATGGATAGAAACGAGAGAATCGAGAGTAACAAGTCGTACAAATTTTTATCGTTGCGTTACGAGCGGATAATCAAGGTCGAATCTACGAATACACGTTCGCACGTACGAATAACGGTCAAAGTTTTTAGAAGATTAAAAGAATTCGTTTATCGAACGAAGTAAACGTGCGCGTCGACTTTAAAATCGATTATCGGTTTCGAAGAATCGTTTGGGAAATTCACGTCACACTTACATATTTCTAACTGACAAATACAAATTTAAGCGCGAACACGCGGATCTCAGCGGAAGGTTTTTTCAAAATCGCGATAATCGTTCCTGATCGTACGCCTTGTAATATATTTTACGAACGAGATGATTTCATATGTGATTTGTACATATATAAGATGATGCCAGGAGCGAATGCGTGTGACACTGTGTGCGTCAAAGCGAATGATGGTAAAAAAGAGAGAACAAAGAACGGATAGATGACGGCGAAAGGACCAAAAAAAATCTGCAGATTGAATGACAGTGAGAGAGAGAGAGAGAGAGAGAGAGAGGGTGAGAGGGAGAGTAGGCTGATGTTTCGATCATAACGTTGTGTTTCATATCATAAACAAAATTATAATATATCGTTATTTTTTAAGAATAAACATCGAGAGGGAGAGAGAGAGAGAGAGAGAGAGAGAGAGGAGAACGAGGAATCGAAAATGAAATGACGAAGGAACGATGAGGACGCATGGTATCGATCGCATGGCCTGCAAATCTAGTCATTAATAAAGAAATAAAAAGTTGGTGCGATTGGACGCGGGTACGTCAACAAACTCGCTGCGTCTTACTACGTTAAAGCTTTTTTTTTTCCTTTTCTTTTTCCTTTTTTTTTTCTCGATAATATCGCAAGTCAAGGAAAAATGAAGTAAAAGAGATCATCTCGCGACGAATTGAAAAAAATATAAAAAAGCCGCATAATGGTATCGAGTCGGAATAGCGTCTTACTTAAAATAAGTTATGGCTTCGGTTCTCTCTCCATCCTACGAGCCGCATCTCCGTCTACCCTATTTCAACCATCACCGATACCTCTCCTTCGACTACCCGCAATTTCATTTTCATATCGACGCAAGTACGCGCACGTGTAAGATACTAGCGCATTTATCGGCCATACAGTCACAGATAAATATATTGCACATACGATTGCACATATTATTATACATAGCACGCCACTGTACATAAATACGTAATACATGATCGTGATATTGTACGTCATAACCGCGAGCCGTTACCTCGCGCAATCCTACAAAAGTCGAGATTGTTTGGGAAAGAGAAACGCGAGTAAACGGCGAGGAGAGCGAAGGCGTTTTCTAAAAATTCGATTTCGATTTCCCGGCTCTCCCGAACGAAAAAAGAAAAAGGAAAAAAAACAAAGAAAAAGAAAAAAAAAAAAAAAGAAAAATAAAAAAGAAAAAAACATATAATTCCGATATGTTTGAGCTCGCATTCGTATACTCACGTATATCGGCGGTGTATCGTCGTTACTTGTGCGCCACGCTGCGTGTTCTCTCTTTTTCCAACCGTATCCTCCGTCGTTATCGTTTCCACTTCTATTTACTTAGTGATATTGAGAAGAAAAAAAAAGAAAAAGATGCAAAAAAAGAACAAAAAGAAAACAGAGCTATTATCTTTGTAAGCTTAAAAGAAGGAAAAACGAAACGAAACGAAACGAAACGAAACGAAACGAAACGAAACGAAACGAAACGAAGAAGAGAAAATATCGAGATGTCTCGCACGCGTTCCATTAGCCGAGTCGCCGCGAGCTCCCCCCTTCGTCGTCCTTAGAACGTCCTTTCATCGGGAGGGAAAGAGAAAAAGAAACTACACAGGACGAATGTTCGTTGTGCTTCTATTAGAGACTTTTTTAAGGATATACCACCAGAGGTGCCATCGATCCTCGCGAGAGCATGGTAGAAGAAGGTGTATGTCGTCGACGACGGCAACAACGACGACGATCCGCGAGGATAATTACGACAGTGGAATCTCAAAGGAGATGAGAAAATCTGTAGTTTCTTCGTACATACGTACCTCCCTCGATTATATTCTTTCGTTCTATTAGCTCGATCGCGAGAAACGGCTTTCTCGTAACGGCATACACCTACATTTACCCTGCCCGATGCGAATTTCTGTAATAACAAAGAAAATAATAAACGCGCTTTCGCGAATAAGAAAAATAATATCAAAAAGAAGCGTATAAGCGATAAGTACGTACGTTTACATCGTGTGTGTATATATACATATATGCATGTCAATGTATGTGTATATATAGATATATGGATATATGTATTCGTGTACTCGTACTTATATAGACGGATAGAGAGAGAGAGAGAGAGAGAGAGACTATAAGAATTGCGGCACGAATATATTAGACATATGTATATATATGCACACACACAGACAACGAACTTTATTTGAAATTTCTCTCCTGTTGTCCGTTCGCACAGTTTTCTCGTTCCTCATTTGTGTAAAATGTACCATATCCAAAGGGTGCTCTTAAATGGATAGCGGAACAAAAATGATTTGCGTCATAAGGCGTTAAATAATAAGGCAAAAAGAAACAGAATGGTTTTCTTATCGGAAATGGGCTGCCTCGAAGGAAGGTAATCCAGAGATTCTAATAAATCATTAAAACTTACCAGCCTGAATGCTTTTTTTTTGCTTCCTCTTTATACCTTTTTTCCTCTTATTACGTCGTTATTTATATCTCTCATATTCTTATAGTCGTTTACCATCCACAACATGCATACGGCAGAAAGGAATAAAAGCTTTGAACGATCTCTATATAAAATGAAGACAACTTGCAACGGTGGAATCCTCTTTATTGAACGCTTATCCTCTTTACATTTCCATATAGCTCGTATTTATTTGGCATATCGACGTAATTATGACGAATTGAACGATAAAATGTTAACGAATCTGATGACGAGTAGCATCTACTTGGAAGACTTGTTCCTCATTGGAACACTTATTGGGATCGATTCTGTCTACCTGAAAAAGAAACAAAAATTTCTTAATCAAAATCAACGAGGTTATGTTCGATAATGGCAATATCTTCTCCAATTAAACACTATTTTCACTGATTTAATATCAGGGCTTTGAAAAAATTAATCTCACAAATTAAACGTATTTAAAGAAAGTAATGGTGACATTGGTGTATTTACTCTTTCATCCGTCAGCCATATTTTGATCTGTATCCTAACGAATGGATAGTTTAACGTTTTCAAGATCGATCGAATATATGTATAAGAAGCATGTTATAAAGGAAAATAAGCGTAGAATTTAGTAAATGGAGTAATCGAAATTGTTTCAACGAACGATTCGATAGAAAAAGGAAAAAAGAAGAAAAATGTTTCTTGCGAAGATGGAACAAAAGCTAAACGACGAGTAGAAACGAGTACAAATCGAATCGGAGGTTAACTCGATACTGGAAATGTTGAGACGATAAAATTCCTATGTATATTCCCTAAAGGCTTGAAACCAATTGGTCGACGAAGCTCGCTCTATGTGAGCTTTTATCAAAGAACTTGTGGATTGGTCGAATGGAAAGGTGCTCGCGAAAGATGACGCTAGATGTATACGCCGAGTCGAGAAAGAAATCGACCGAGCGCTCTCAGTCGAACGTTAGCCACGACCGCGCGAGGACAGCAAGGTCGTCGGGCTATCGGTGCTTACCTAATCATTGCGATTGGCCGACGGCTCTCCCGTAAGCCCCGCCTACCAGGTGGCCGTTCGAAAGTGTAGTCGTGTAGTTTGTTGAGACGAAACGACGGGCGCTGCTCTCTCTCTCTCTCTCTCTCTCTCTTTCTTTCTCTCTCTCTCTCTCTCTCTCTCTCTCTCCCTCTCTTCTCTCTCTTTCTCACTCTTTCTGTCTGTCTGTCTGTCTGTCTGTCTGTCCGTCCGTCTGTCCGTCTGTCCGTCTTTCTTTCTTTCCCCATCTCCCATACGTCCTAGCCGACTACGAGAAAATCTTGAAATGAGTCATATCGGTGCGTTAATATGTGACGGTTGAAAGAAAAGGAGGATAAGGGAACGTGCGAGAGGGTGGTTTACGCGCGGCTGTCAACCACTGTCGAAACGTGTGCGAGAAAATTGGAGAAGGAGAGTCGAACGACGACGACGGCGACGACGGAGGCGCCGGAGAGAGAGACAGAAAGGGAGAGAGAGAGAGAGAGAGAGAGTGAGAGAGCGAGGCCCTGGAGTGGCGGAGGAGAAGAGAAGAAAAGCGGGTCCGCGCGGTAAGAAAAGAGGTGTCGTGTATTAGAGTATAGAGGATAGGAAAAGGAGGAAGAAGATAAGGCAAAGTTTTCAATCTCCGAAGAAATAGAAGAAACAAACGAAGACGTTCGTGTATCGCTAAAAGGCTCGACCGAAGACCCACGGAGACGTACGAAGAGACGACAGATCGTGCGCGCGCGAGAGAGAGAGAGAGAGAGAGAGAGAGAGAGAGAAAGAGGGAGAGAGAGAGAGAGGGGCACGTCGCGGACAATACGTCGCGACGACGACGACAACGACGGCGACACGACGACGGCGACGACGACGACGACGACGACGACGACGACGTCGAGAGAAGAAAATCAAAGACGCTCGTGTTTTTTTCTCGATTGTTATATCGAGAAAAAAAATCTCTTTTTTTTGACGCAGATCTGGCCGAAAGGAATAACGGAAGGGAAATTTTTGGAAACGACACATATTCAGGGATATACGTGTGAGTGTCTCTTTTATCTCTATCTTTATCCGAAAGACGAAAACGAAGGCGAAGCCGTCGTCAAGAGTTCCGGGTGCGGAGATAGTTTTCTCGCGACCACTACGGAATCGTTCCGTGCTCTCTCCCTCTCTCTCTCTCTCGTTCTCACGTTCCGTGGCACGGGGTTAAGAAGAGAAGACCGACCGAGCAAAGGAGCGAGAGAGAGAGAGAGAGAGGAGTGGCGAGGAGTGGAATCGGTGTTCGTGCCGACACACACACACACACACACACACATACAGACAGCCAGCCAGAGAGAGAAAGAGAGAGGGAGAGAGAGAGAGAGAGAGAGAGCGAAGAGGACGTCAGCTGTGTGCGCTTTTACGACAAGGGGGACGTGTGTGGTACCGTGACGGAGAGGGAAAGAGGAGGAGAACCGACGAGAAGGAGAGAAAGAGAGAGATAGAAGCCACTGTCGAGAGATAGAGAAATGGCGGCGCTGGTGGCAGGTGTCCAGTATGGTTTGTCGTCGCATAGCAATTTTCACGAGAACAAATCGCTCATCTTCGTGAAGCTCACGGATTCGGCGCAACGTGCCATCGAGGATTTTCTTAGGAATCGGGTGAGTTACATTTTTTTCTCTCTTTTTTTTCTTCTTCTTTTCTCATTTTTTTTACTCTTTTCCACTTTGTCCGGCTGTCTCCTTCCAAACACGCACCACGTTCCTACCAGTAGCAGCAGCAGCAGCAGCAGCAGCAGCAGCAGCAGCGCAACGCAGCGCAGCAGCTAGCTTCGACGTTTGTACGTGAGCGCGCGCGCGCGCGCGCGCGCCAACGCCACGCAAGCTCCTCGTACGACGTTTATACGTGATCTCGCTCGCGTGCTTGGCCTTCGCGTTCGTGTGCGCGCAATCTCGTGGCCGGAGAACGCGTGTCGTAACGGATACGCACGTTTCTACGCACGTTGCTCGCCATGGGCCATATACATGTATCGTTTCGAGAGAAACGTAGAAAATTCCCTGACTAAGAGGAGGCGTCCGTGCGAAGCCACGTTGGTTGGCAACCCAAGAGAGAGAGAGAGAGAGAGAGAGAGAAAGAACGTATACGGTATGTACGTTCCTGTCATCGAACGTCGAAACGCGGAGATCGAGATTTTCGAGGCTCGACGTTTCTAACCGTATGCTTTGACAACGGCAATTATCATTCGTTACGTAAGGCCATCCTCGAAGGCACTCGCGATAGCACGCTGATCGCCTTCTTTCTTCTTTCTTTTTTTTCTTTTCTCTCTCTCTCTCTCTCTCTCTCTCTCTCTCTCTCTCTCTCTCTCTCTCTCTCTCTCTCTCTCTCTCTCCTCCCTCTTTTCCCTTTTCTGGCTTCCATTCGGATAGACAGAGCGCGTACGTACATCTTTCGTTATTGTACGGGTTTCTTTACTTTTCGAGATTAAACGATACGGTAACAGATGTTTTGACCGTCCAACGTTCGTGACAGGAAAGTGTACGCTCGGTTACTTTCGGAGCGTACAATAGTTTTTTCGTACGCACATATGTCCTCCTCCCTTTTATACCCTCTCCCTCTCTATTCTTCTCAGTCGATAAGGCGATTCGTGACGTAGAAGAGATATCGTCCGGATCGAAAAGTTCCTATCCGACGGATCGCCTACTATATCGGAATTTTGAGAAAGGCAAAGATTACTGGCAGCTCTCTTTGTTGTACGCGCGTCGAGGGAAACGAGTAAAAACGGATGAATCATCGTTCTTGGCAGTCGTCACCATTACCGATCATAACTTTTACGATCGCCTACTCGCAGACGTACTCGAGTATGTACTTATGTACCGAGAGACTATTTCTCCTTGAAATTCGATTTTTCTCGGTGCGTAGAGAAGCGAGAGAAAGAAAAGTAGAGAAGGGATACGGGGCGTTTCGTTTAAAAGTCTCTCCATCGGTGACATTGTAGAACGGTTCTCGAGGTATCGCCGAGGCAACGCCGAAAATAGCCACGTCGGTGGTCGTGCGTGCGGCCTTTAAAATACTAACGCGCGTCGTCGCTATATTGCCTGCGTTTTACGTACTTGACAAAGCGCTGTTTATCCTGTCTCTCTCTCTCTCTCTATGAAATTCTCAAAAATTCGCCACGTTTCTCCGAAATTGCGATAAAAAAAATTAAACGGTCTTGATTCTTTGCGTGGCTCGCGCGAGGAAGGGGGAAGAGAGAGAAACGTCGTTACGTTAATCGCGAATTCTTTAAACGTCAGCTGACTCTCCTCCGAGCTCTCTCGGACGAGATTCGAAAGTAGAGATTCGTCGCGAGGGGCGTGATGGGGTTAACCTATCGTCGCGATACGTTCCGACGATAGACACTTTGCTTGCGGAACGATTTGCAGCACGAACCGTATCTCGTTGCAACCATCTAGAGTTATATCTTGCTAAACTTTGCTCAGCTCGCTACGTAAAAGACAACGTAGAATCGACGATTGCGAACGTTGACTTTTCTTGCGAAAAAATTGACGCGTTTCTTATTTCCTATGGAATTGTGCGTGCGCTTGATAACGCGCTCTATCCAAAAAGTATCATGACGAGGTTTCTTTCGTGAAAGTTATACATGCAGCCACGATTATCGGTAGGCGCGATTAAATAAAAATAGACTCACCTTATCTTCCCTATTTTCGAAAGCTGATTGCCGTTATTCTCTCTCTCTCTCTCTCTCTCTCTCTCTCTCTCTCTCTCTCTCACTCTCTCTCTATCTCTGCGCATCGTTGGCCCTCCTATCGATAATATGTTAATTAGCGTTCGCGCACGTACGAGTAAAGCGTCTTTCTCAAAAACGCTCCTTCTTCCCTTTCCACGTCGTTAACGTTGACCTCTTTTCCTTTTTTCTTCGGCCGTCGCTCTTGTTTTTTTCAGATCGTCGAGAGAGATACGCAATTATTTTCGAAAGAGGCCTTTCCGAATATCGCGAGAAATTTGACCCGTGGAAAGTTCTCGCTCCTCGGCTCATTGGCGAAAAAGACGAGAAAAATTCGCGTAATCGCTTTTTCGATTCTACGCTCTTTTACGATCGACGTATATAGCACAGAGTTATCGCGCTCGAGTATATAATAATACTTACGCTTGCTCGTGCTGCGTTACACGAGTTCGAGAGAACTCGGCGCCTCCGGATGCGTGTTCTCGCGTAAACGAAAAGCTGAAAAGAATAAATTTTAGTAAAAGAGATTACAGCGGAGAGTATGGCCCAAGCCGAAGAAATAGATGTGTGTGTGTGTGTGTATATATATATATTCGTAATCGGCCACGCGTTCGTGAATCGCCACGCATCGTTCGTCGTACAAAGACCTTTTGCCGATGTTTGTCGAAACGTCGTCGTTCTGGCGAACATCGCAGGCCATTTAGAAATATTCTTTCCTCGTTAGACCACCCAGGGAATGGGCGGCCCATTTTATTTCGTTAAGCCTACGTATAAGCGAGATCGGAAGACTCGAAGGAGATTTTTCAGGCTACGCTTCCTGAGTATCTTTCAGAGGGTGTTATTGGTACGCGAGTGCAAGGGCTAGGTGTAAGAGAGAGGTTCGTCTAGAGGTTCCTTCAAATTTCAACAAAGATCCAGAACGGAATTATATCATCTCGGAACAATATCTTTCGTTTTTTTTCTTGTTTCTTCCAACCCCACCCTCTTATATATATATATATATATATATATATATATATATATATATATATATATATATATAAGTTTGCAGAATGATAGATTGGGAAAAAGTCGGCTAAATGCAACATTCGTACCGTGCATCTGCGAGAGAGTTAATTTTGTGCAGGACTTAACAAAATATATTTATTGTTAAAATACATACGTGTATATATGTATATACATGTGCGCGCATATATCGTCGAGCGTAATAAAACTTTATTACCGAAGATATCGATTAGCTTTTCCTGGTCGTAGGACGAATCGAAAGGACGATTGCGCGAGCCAACATATTTCGAGGTTATCTCGAGAACGAAGATGGATATACGAGGCTCGTACAATCGTTTCGTTTCGTTTAAATCCATTTGACTCCGCTGTAAAACTTTTTCTTGCGATACATTGTACGATAGGTTGTGCGATAGTTTGCTCGTCTCCGATCCCACATAAATTATCCGCTTACCGTTAATAAGCCGCGCAACGCTCGCAGGCATGGCGATATAATTAAGGATCGTTAATTGCTTCCTTACGTACTCTTTCTGTAATTAATAAGTCAACAATTCTTCGTTGTTGACTTATCAAACAGCATGTTCCAAAAATTTCCTTCCCGAATTTCTACTTCGTGCGGCACATCGATCTCCTCCAATAGTTTAATTCCGGCGCTTTTTATCCGTTCGCGGAGTCTATTCCTCCGAGTCGCGTCCCGATATCCTCCAAAAGGAGGATACTTCGTCTAATTGGCGCGACTTACGTGCACTCGAGATACGTTCGATTTACGGCACGGCGCGCGGTATAAATTATGCCGAGTGAAAGTGAATGCCGCCAATAAATCAAGAAAGCCGATACCAAAGAGAGAGCCTTACGATTCGCGTAACTTCCCAAGGTGGAAAAAAGAATAAAAAAGAAAGAGAAAAAAGAAAGCTGAAAACGTAAAATATAATACGTATTAACCGGCGTCTTATCGCTCTCCTAGCAAACGGTTTTCCTTTGTAACACACGGCGGAGGGTGTCGAAAGAATTTTCGCCTTTCGCCGCGGTCAACGTTTTATCGCTTTTTCAAAGAATTGCCGATGGAGTTAGGAAAGTTTTCCTTACTCCAAGGTCGTCGCGATTTCTACGATTACTACGGGGAAAATAGAAGCTCGTAAAGCGTTTGTATCGCGACTATCTGCATACATATTTCCTAGGAAACTAAACGAAGATAAATAAAATGTAAAATAGCCAGAGAACGAGTAGGTTTCTCGCGAAGCACGGAAGATCAAAGATCGATGATTGGGTATACGTGCATCTCGCTTGACATTCGGATTGGGCTTTTCCGAGAAATCGAGAGAGAGAGAGAGAGGGAGGGAGGGAGGGAGGGAGGATTCCTATGAAACTTGTTATACGCGTAGATATCCCTTTAAAGGGCCAAAGAGAACTCTACTCCGTTTTAGCAATTACGAGAGGGAAACGGTTCGTTCTTCATTTCCTTCATCAATTTTAATATCTCTTTCTCCTCATTTCCTTTTTTTCGAACCGACGCTAAATCTGCTATCGCGTACATATCAAAGTAAAAGCAGAGCATAGAGAGACCAGCCGATTCGCCCGCTTATTTTTGGAGAAAGAAAATGTTTGTAAGAAAAATGATTGTAAGAGATCATGTAAAGGACGCGCGGCGCCCTCTTTGTCCCCAACTTCGTCATTCTTTCGCGATGCGTTTTCTACGAGACACCTCCGCGCGTGCTGCAGGAACGGCCCAAACCGACCGTTAGTTCCACGTTATAAATTTGGTCGATGAAGTAATAATACTCCGCTTTCTAATAATAATATACCGTGAATCACATCCGCGAGCGGCGCGGCGAGTCTTCCGTTTCTGCTTACAGGTATGTATGTCGCGGCTTATCATTCGACAAACCACATAATCCACACACGATTTCCCTAAGAATTTAATTACGATCTACGAGT